TGTGCCACAGTTATCAGATGTGATACAGTCACCAGGTGTGCCACAGTCAGTTAGAGATGCACCACACTTACCAGGAGATGTGTCGCACTCACCACAAGGGTTATTGGACTTAGCAAGAGACAAGCCAAAATCTGCCCCAGATAATGTGCAGAATCGTGACACTCCTATGGATATCTCAGCTCCGTCCTCTCCAAGTTGCTCTGCCAGCCCACTGTCTCCACAGTCTGAATTTTCCTTAGAAAAAGTTCCTTGGCTCTCTGTCACAGACAGCTTAGCCAGAAAAGAGAGATCATTTCCACAGCTTACCAACCCTGGGTCTGCCCAGATACAAGGACAAATACCACAAGTTGGGGTGTACAATAGACCTTGCCTGCATAGACTGAAATACTTCTTACGACCACCAGTACATCATCTCTTCTTCCAGACATTAATACCAGATAAAGACACACGGGAGGTAAGCTAAGTATACTCACCCCTTGGGGATTATGTCTCCTTCCTATAGGTCCTGGATAAAGTTACATTGACTTGTGTGATATTTTGTTTGTGTTCTAACAAATAATTTTGCCTGAAGATCAGAGGGCAGAGCTGCCACTAGTTAATCATAGAGGCCAGGCGGTGGTAGCTCACACCTTTAGTCCCAGCACACAGGAGGCAGAGAGAGGAAGTAATAAGGTGGTGGAGCAGAGACAGGCTCTTGGCCCCATTTGGTCTGAGGATTTGTAGAGGTAAGAAGTCACTGGTGGCTACTCCTTTGCTTCTCTGATCTTTCAGGTTATTACCCCAATATCTGACTCCTGGTTTTTATTGATAAGATTAATTAGATTTGTGCTACAATGACTAGAGTCCATGCATTAGAGAATGGACCAAATATAAATGAAATTTTTATCTTTCTCCCACTTGAAGGTGGAGTTAGGTCTGTGTTCAGATCTCAGCCCACACTTTAAAAACCAGCACTGTGCATTGTCATTTCCTTTGTGAGCCTCATCATTGGCCTTCGTCAGTTCTTGTCTTCCATTCCTTTATTCTCTCTTCCTGATACCCACACAGTCCCTATATCACAGAAGACTCGTCAATTAGTGCCTCAAATCATCCTTAGACTTTGGGAGTAGAAACTAAATTTTAAAACTTTAATGTGAATATTATTTCCCATTTGTCTTCATTGACCTATGAGAACTAAATTAGATATATATGGACAAAAATGTGACAATCTCACAGCATGAAACCTTTTTGTTATCCAAAACCACACCCTCAACCTTAAGAGAAGTTTCAAGTACTCAGTGGTGGTGGGGGGCATGCCTTTAATCGCAATACTCAGGAGGTAGAGGCACGCAGATCTCTGAGTTTGAGGACAGCCAGGGCTATACAGAGAAACCCTGTCTTGAAAAAACAAACAAAGTCAAAAGGTAGGCAGTCTGGCAAAATGGCTCAGTAGGTAAAGGCACTTGCTGCCAAACCTGGCAACTTGTATTCTATATATAGACTGAACCCACATGGTAGAAGTAGAGGACTGGCTCCTATAAATTGTCCTCTGACCCCCACATTTGCACTGTGGTATACACTTGTGCTCATAAACACATGTGCATGCACACATGTGTGCGCGTACACACACACACACACACACACAGATAGACAGACAGACAGATAAATGAAATGTGATTTTTAAAAGTCAAAAAGGCAGGGCTGGAAGATAGCTCAGTGCTTAATAATGTCTACTACTTTTCCAGAGGAACAGGTTCAGTTCCTAGCACCCATATAGGGTGGGTCAGAACCTCCTGAACTTCCAGCTCCAGGGCACTCACGTGTACAAATCCACACCTAGACATACATGCATATATAAAATTGAAAATAAAAATAAATCTTTTTTAAAAAAATTTTTTAAAAAGTATTTTTTAAAAAACAATGTGTTTAAACTCACTCATAGTGTTATCAGACATTTATTATGAATAATTCCATGTATTCCCTTCCCAGTTAACTTTTATACGTAACCATTTCAATTTTTAAAGTAATTGGTATTTTTTTTAAACATATGTATTTGTGCCAGGTGATTGTGGCGCACACCTTTAATCCCAGCACTTAGGAGGCAGAGGCAGGCAGATCTCTATGAGTTCAAGGCCAGCCTGGTCTACAGAATGAGTTCCAGGACAGGCTCCAAAGCTACACAGAAAACGCTATTTCAAAAAAACAAAAACAAACAAAAAACAAACAATATATATATGCATTTGTTATTGTTTTGTTTATAGAATGTAATGGTTAAAAACCATGCATGGTGATACAGGCCTGTAATGCTAGTACTTGGGAGATAGAGGCAGGAGGATCAGGAGTTCAAGGCCAGTACTGATGCAAACCTGGGCCCTCTCAAAAAGAAAAGAGAAAGATTGGGAGGAGGAGGAAGAAAGTGGTATTCATTCTTCTAGCAACACAATGGGCTCAAGTCTTTTTATGTCTTTTTCATGTATATGAGTGCTCTATCTGCATGTACAACTTTATGCCAGAAGAAGGCATCAGATCCCACTATAGATGGTTGTGAGCCACCATGTGGGTGCTGGGAATTGATCTCAGGACCTCTGGAAGAACAGCCAGTGCTCTTTATTTTCTTTTAATTTATTTATTTTTATTATTTTATGTGCATTGGTGTTTTGCCTACATCTATGTCTGTGTACAGACAGTTGTTAGCTGCCATGTGGTGCTGGGAACTGAACCCGGGTCCTCTGGAAGAGCAGTCAGTGCTCTTAACCGCTAAGCCATCTCTCCAGCCCCACTCAAGTCTTATCTATCTCTCTTTTTTTCTTTTTTTTTTTTCAGAGCTGAGGACCGAACTCAGGGCCTTGCACTTGGTAGGCAAGTGCTCTACCACTGAGCTGAATCTCCAACCTCCTTCTTATCTCTATTAAAGTGTCTACTATACCTTTGTCACTACCCTATAATCTTAGCACTTAGAAGATGGAGGCAGGAAGATTAGGAACTCAAAGCCAGTCTCTGACTGCTCGTGGCTCTTTGGTATTTGTGTTTCTGTTACTTCTGTTGTTTTTTGTTTTTTGAGACAGGGCTTCTCTGTGTAGCCTTGGCTATCCTGGAACTCACTCTATAGACCAGGCTGGCTTCAAACTCAGAGATCCACCTGCCTCTGCCTCCCGAGTGCTGGGATTAAAGGCATGCACCATACCCAGCTTTCTGTTACATTTTAATATAGATGAAATCATGTTGTATTTAGAATTCTTGTCTTTTAACTTCTCTACATCCATCATTAAGAGGTTTTTTTTTTGTTTTGTTTTTTAAATAGAGCTTTCTTGTCTCTTTAATAAAATATTTCAAATGCATAGAAAACTTTGCTGTTTTCAACCTGTTGCAGAACCTCTTGCTTTTAGGAAGTGTAGAGTCCATCCTGATGTCTGTCTATCTCTTTGTCTCTACAGAGCAAGGGTCAGAAATTAGAGCCCATCCCTCATCGAAGACTAAGAATGGTGACAAACACTATTGAAGAAAACTTTCCTTTGGGGACTGTGCAGTTCTTAATGGACTTTGTTTCACCCCAGCATTACCCACCCAGAGAAATTGTGGCTCACATCATCCAGAAAATCCTGCTCAGTGGCTCTGAGACTGTGGATGTCCTCAAGGAGGCCTACATGCTTCTCATGAAAATTCAACAGTATGAATCATTACCACTGGCTGACCAAGTCTTCTAGGGATTGTACACTCAGGGCATAGCTTCCCTTATCTAAGCTTTATTCAGCTGACCTGGGGAGGGTTCTTAATAATGTTGGTTGTAAGGGACAGGAAACCCACTCAAAACTGGCTTCAATTGCTGGTAAAGGAATTTAATAACTTATTTTCACTGGAAACCTGGGAATAAGATGTTATTTGATACTGTTTTCCTAAGTGGCTGCTGGGACCCAGCTTTTAACTCTGCCTTGGTTCTAGCTTTGGGGCTCTACACTGTAGTCTTCAGCTTTAGATTTTTATGGTACTTTGAGTTAGAAAATCAACTTCCGTAATTACATAACAATTCTGAAACTGAGTCATTATAGTTGGCTTAACATAACACGAGTCCATTTTTGAGACAATCACAGTGAATGATAGAATATTGTAATTAACTCAGCAAATCACATACTTCTTGTAGTCCTGGTAGGTAAAGCTCAATGGCTATGAGCTGGCCAGAGACTGACACAGTGTGGTACTGGAGGGTAGGCCAGAGTGCTCAGGGTGAGAAGATGCTTTGTCTCCTGTCCTCGTACAGACCCTATCCCTTCTGCCACTAAATTCCCCAGAATTCTGATTGATGTCACTTGACTTTCAGGCTGCATCCAGCCAATGCCAAGACCGTGGAATGGGACTGGAAACTGCTCACCTATGTCATGGAAGAAGAGGTAACATAAATTATGAAGATACATCTTTTGCAGAGGAATTTTTTTTTAAGATTTATATATTTATTATGTATACAGTGTTCTGTCTGCATATACACCTGCAGGCCAGAAGAAGGCACCAGATCTGGTTACAGATGGTTGTGAGCCACCATGTGGTTGCTGGGAATTGAACTGAGTACCTCTGGAAGAGCAGCCAGTGCTCTTAACCGCTGAGCCATCTCTCCAGCCCTTGCAGAGGAATTTTTAAATTACATTTATTTGTGAGTGTGTGTGTGTGTGTGTGTGTGTGTGTGTGTGTGTGTGTGTGTGTGTGTGTATTTGAAAACACCATGTTGTGTGTGGAAGTCAGAAAACAGCTTGCAGGAATTGGTTCTCTCCTTCCATCCTGTGGGTCTTGGGGATTGAACTCATTGTCAGGTTTGGCAGCAATTGCCTTTACCCACTGAGCCATTATTTCCTGCTGACAGTCCTACCCTACCAAAAAATTACTGTTAAAAAAAATGTGGTCTTGCCGGGCGGTGGTGGCGCATGCCTTTAATCCCAGCACTCAGGAGGCAGAGCCAGGCGGATCTCTGTGAGTTCGAGGCCAGCCTGGGCTACCAAGTGAGTTCCAGGAAAAGCACAAAGCTACACAAGAGAAACCCTGTCTCGAAAAACCAAAAAAAAAAAAAAAAAGTGGTCTCCCAACTCAGATATTAATATATTCATGTCTTCTCTCCTTGAAACCAAACTGAGAATATTACTGGGAGGGTTGGTGACACAGCTCAGTGGTGGAGCACTTGCCTGCCATGCATGAGACCCTGAATCTAGTCCCTAGTACTGCAGACAAGTAAACATTAATGCTAGTAAATAAATGGATAAAGGAAGCCGGGCACCGTTGACGCACGCCTTTAATCCCACCACTGGGAGGCAGAGGCAGGCGGATCTCTGAGAGTTTGAGGCTAGCCTAGTCTACAGAGTGAGTCCCAGGAAAGGCGCAAAGCTACACAGAGAAACTCTGTCTTGAAAAACCAAAAGAAAGAATGAAAGAAGAAAGTCATACTCCATAGCTGTGAAAAATAGAGGAAAGTGAGTCAAGATTCAAGCAGTCTAAGGAAGAAGACATTAGGGTGATGAGTCATGAGGCTGGTCAGAGACAGCCAGGAGCTAGAACACTTGTAGAAGAGACCGTAGCCAGGGAAGAAAATCTTCACTTTAGAGCACCAAAGGAGTTTCCCACTCAGAAATGCAATATATATGCTGAGCAGGATGAATGAATCCAGTACAGGAATAGTGAGTATCTGCTGAAAATCATTACATGGAGCTGTCAGCTACTACATTCTGAAACATAGTAGGCAAAAAAGTCTAACGAAACGGCATGAACCATCTGTAATAAGCAAAAGCAGATGCTATAAAGTTAGTAATAAAAAAAAAATTCCATGTTCTCTCTTTAATGACATCCAACTTTAACTGCTGGAGTTTTTAATCTCCTCATGTCTTTCACACAAGCTAGCTCCAACATTTAAATTTCCTGGGATGCTGCTCTTGTCAAACTGGACATTTTGTATTTCTTCCTGCCCCCACTTGCCTTTCATCATTGTAGACTTAAATAGAGTAATAACCACAACATAGAGTGAATATTGGACTGTCTTGGAATGTTTTCCAAGGAAACTAATACTTCATAACTTGACCTTAGGCAAATTCTTAGGACAAGGTCAAAAAGCAGCCATGTTCTTTGCCAGAATATCACAAGAACAGTCTTTAGCCCAGCTGCAAATATTGTTCCCCTGAAACCTCTGAATGGGCCTCCAAAGTCCACATGGCTCTGCACTATCTGCCAGGCTCCTACTAGGTTGGCCCATTAAATTTACAGCATTTAGTCACTTTTTTAGTTGAAAATTTCAAAGTTGTCCACATTCATCTAAAAACACTACATAGTCAGAGTCGGGGAGAGGTCTCTGCATACACCAAGGCCAGCAGAATGTGGATCCAGGGGAGGCAAGAAGGAAATTTGGTTCAACATGACTCAATTTCTGGCATTGTTTCAAACTTTGAGAGTCTGGCACCTGGTAGTTAGGCATATTTAAGCAGAACACAACCTTGGAGGAAAGTTTCCTGGTGATAATTAACTCAATCCCATGTGCACAATAAAGCTTAAGACATGACCACATCAAAACTCTTGTAAGGTACGAGTGACTTTTGGTTCCAGAGAGTTAGAGTCCATGATAACCGAGCAAAGTCATGATGGCAGGAACATCTGATAGCTCACATCTTGAAAACCTCAAGTCCACCCCTAGTGACACACCTCCTCCAAGGCCTTCCCAAACAACCACCAACTAGGGACCAAGTATCCAAATGCCTGAGACTTACGGGGACATCTCATTCAAACCACCAGACAACATATGGACTACAAGACTTGTGAGGACTTCAGAGACTGTAGAGTAGCTGCAGAGTACAGTCTAACTCATGACCATGAAGGTGCTCCATCAATAGAGGTAGCCATTTCCTAGTGTTTACCATGCTCAGGTACTTCCCTTTACTCAATGTAACAAGCTACATCCAGAAAGAAACCACTCATTCCCAGCTCCTCCTTAGAAACAGATTTACCATACCCCAAGTGTGCCGGTTTGTCTGGGAGCTGCTAGAGATTAGTTTTTGTCCTGCCTGCGTCAGAGCGTGGCGAAAACAATAGAATGGTTTGAAAACAGGCAGTAATGTCAAGTATTAGAACTACTGATAGTGTCTGCAATTCCATAGACAGACACCAGGGGAAGCAAGAGAGCGCTGAGAGAAGCAAGCCACTTGGGGAGATTAGGACAGTCAAAAGTACACTACTTGGAGGCTAGCAAAATAGTTCAGCGGGTAACATCGTGACGTCCTGAACCTATGTTAAAAATTCATTGCGGTTTGCAAATCTGTAATCCCAGCACTCCTGTAGTGAGCATAGTGAGTTGAGAGAAGGAGACCGCATCCCCTAAGAGATGGCAGGTTAGGTATGCTGGAATAAACAGTAAAACAGATCAACAAGAAAGAACCCATTTCAGGCTGAGTGTGGTGGTGAAAGCCTTTAATCCCAGCACTCGGGAGGCACAGACAGGCAGATTTCTGTAAGTTCGAGGCCAGCCTGGCCTACAAAGAGAATTCTAGGACAGCCAGGGCCGTTACACAGCGAAATCCTGTCTTGAAAAACCAAAAAGAGAGAACCTGTTTCAACAAAGTGGAAGAGAAGAAAGGACTCTTAAGTTATCCTCTGACCTTTAACTGCCACATATAGATCATGGAATGCTAAATATGCACTTAAAAGCATGGTATATGGGGACCAGCGTGATGGCTCACCAGGGAAAGGGACTTGGTGTCAAGGCTGACAGCCTGAGTTTAATCCCCTGAACCCACACGGCAGAAGAGAACTAATTTCCACAGATGTGTAGATATGTGCATGTGTGCATGCATAGACACTCATATAAATATGATTAATATTTAAACAATAAGGTTTGGTTTGGCTGTCCTGGAACTGGCTCCATAGACCAGGCTGACCTTGAACTCAGAAATCTGCCTGCCTCTGCCTCCTGAGTGCTTGGATCAAAGGCGTGCACCACCACCACCCAGCACAAAAATTTTTTTAAATATAGTGCAAGAGGCTGGGAAGAAGGCTCAGTCAGTAAGAGTACTTACTGTGCAAGCTTGAGTCCCTGAATTCAAATCCCCTGAATCCATGTAAAAAGATGGGTGTACTATATAAACCTGTAACCCTGGCACTGTGGGGGCAGAGACAAGAGGATTACTGTGACTTATATGCCATCAGCCTGCTTCTAAGTTAAGTGAGAGACCATGGGGATCAGACAACGTGATAGAGCAAGGCACCTGATGTCTTCCTCTGCCCTCCCTGCAAGTGCATGGGTACACATACAAACACCACATATACAAAACAGAATGCCTAAAGTGGGTATTACTAGAAAAGGGACAGGTCCAGAATTTCAAGCCATACTGATTGCTAAATGTCTTACCTTAAATAAATCCAATCTGTACATACTAGAAAAGGTACTTTCTTCAAATACCTAATTCCAAAAAAAGGTCACAACCTAAGAGTTCATTCTCTAAAAATTACAAAAATAAAGCTGTTAGCTAGACTTAAGAAAAAGGAGATAAACAGAGATCATTAGAGGAGCCGGGGATGGTGGCACACACCTTTGATCCCAACATTGGGGGGGGGGGGGCGGAGAGGCAGAAGCAAGCTGGTCTCTGTGAATTCGAGGACATCCTAGTCTACTGTAGGAGACCAGCCCCCACATTTATTTACCCCAGAAACTCTTGAAAAATGAGGGATAAGAGACTTAGTTTAAAATAGAGAGAGAAAACACAGGATAGACTTGGGTGGGCCTGGATCCTTATCCAAATGGGCCCAGAACTTTATTCCAAAGATCTGTTTATAACAATGCCAGGGGATGGATCAAAAGACCTCCCTCTTGCTGGTTAGACCTTGGAAACACCTGGTACCCAGGCCCATGGTCCAACAGTTTACAAAGTGATTTCAAGGACAACCAGGGCTGTTACACAGAGAAACCCTGTCTCAACAAACCAAAAAAAAAAGAACGAAAGATTAGAGATTAAACAACTGTATACAAAAAAAAGATAATATATAAGAAATGGATAAATTTTTAGACATGTATATCTTGCCATGAGTAAATCATGAAAATTTATGTGTGTGTGTGTGTGTGTGTGTGTGTGTGTATAAAACTACCACCTCCTCACATGTTAAAGGCTTTGTCCCCAGCTTGTAGATAAAAGGTGACTGAATAGAGGACAGAGGTGGTGTGTATCTTTAATCCCAGCATTGGGGAGGCAGGTGGATCTTTGAGTTCAAGGCTAGCCTGGTCTACAGAGTGAGTTCCAGGACAGCAATACACAGAAACCCTGTATCAAAACAAAACAAAGGGTGACTGAATGAGGGCTTTTAGTCCATTGGTGGTTTCATAGTGGATGGCATTAGAGGAGGTTGGTACTAGTTGGAGGAAGTTGGATACTAAAGGCATTCTGGGACATTCCATTGAAGAATTTTTATCTCAGTGCAGCTCCATTTTGCAGGATGACCGATTTTTGGATCCTTGTGCATGACTATGAATAAGCTGCTAGTGTATCAGGATTGTCCTCACAGTGACAAATACTTGAAAGAATTTTAAAGGGCAGATTTATTTGGGCTTTTGGTCTCAAATTTCAGTCCAAACTGTAATGAGTCAAACATCCCAGTAGAAGGGTGGCAGTGAAGGGAAATCATTTCACTTAAAAGCATTCAAACAGCAGGAGAAAGGGCTGGGTCAAGATGCGTCCTTTCAAGGCATGCTCCCAGTGACCTGTTTCAATCCACCTAGGCCTCATCTCCTAAGGTGCCAAAGCTCCTAAAAGAACACCAGCTGAGGTGTTATCCTCCAAAACATGAGCCTGTAGAGGACACACATTCAAACTCTAGCACTATTTTAAAAGGGCTAAGATAGAAATTTGATATAGTATCTATTTTACATTTTTAGGCAAGACTGTGAGGAATGAGTCTGTGTCGTTGCTGGTGAGAATGCAAATGGTCCAGCACTCTACAAAGCAGTTGGTAGTTTCTATTGCTGTGACTCAGAGTACCTGCTGTCTCCCACAACCCTCTCTTTGATAGACAGACTTTCTGACTCATGGCATTTTCTTGGACTTTGGGTTATGACAGCCTATGGTTTCCTTTCTTCAAGAGACTGAGAAGCAAGCCTGACTTACTCATTCTTCCACAGGGACAGACTCTGCCAGGACGAATCCTCTTTCTACGTTATGTAGTACAAACCCTGGAAGATGACTTCCAGCAGATCTTGAGGAGACAGCGGCAGCACCTCCAGCAATCCATTGCAAACACTGTTCTTTCGTGTGACAAACAGCCCCACAATGTCAGGTAATGAGCTGTTAGCCCTCTGATATGACAAGAACAGGGACTGTAGTGTGTGACAGATGTGTTAGTTCATCACTGACAGTGTGTGAAAAGTCAAGGAAAGGGGATTTATTTAAGGTCATCACTTTGGGGGTTTTCATCTGTCGTAGCAGGAGCTATTCAACTCATGGCAGCCAGGAAGCAAAGGAGATTAGTAAAGGAAGGGGCCAAAGCAGCATGCATTCCCAAGTCCCTATCCCCAGTGATGCACTTTTCCAGCTAGGCTCTCCCCTTCCACAGTTTGACTTTCTCCCAACAGTCTACTCAGATTTTGAATTCATCAGTAGATTGGACCAACATTAGAGAAGAGCTTTTGTGACGGTGAGGCATAGTTGTTTTAGGAAGTTCTCTCTACTAGTGTTCTCAGTCACTCATGAACCCAGAGACTACAAGGGCATGAGATTTTCCTCATTGCTAAATACCATAAATTGGATCAATAACAAAACTGTGGACAATCAAAAGAACTGGACTGAACATGTGTCTAAGTAGTGGGGATTACTCCCTTATTCTGAAGATTATATGGAAAGTAAAAGTTTTGAGATCTCATATGTCTGAAAATCTTTTTTCTCTTGTGTATTGACTAATAAGTAGGCTGATTACTTTTAGTTTAGTTTAGATATTTAGAAATAAATTTTGTGCAGAACTTTGCAGAAACTGTCTTCTAGCTGTCAGAAGTGCTGTTAAGAAATCAGAAGCAGGGCTGGAGAGATGTCTCAGAGGTTAAGAGCACTGGCTGTTCTTCCCAGAGGTCCTGAGTTCAATTCCCAGCAACCACATGGTGGCTCACAACCATCTATAATGGGATCTGATGCCCTCTTCTGTCACAAAGGTATACATGCAAAGCACATATATAAAAATCAAAAGCAGGGCTGGAGACATGGCTCAGTGGTTAGGAACACACTGGCTACCCTTCTAAAGGGCCTGGGTTCAATTCCTGGTATCCACATGGCAACTGAAAAACATAAATAACTCCAGTTCTAGAAGATAGGACACCACCTTCTAGCCTCCATGGATACCAGGCACATACATATGTGGTACACAGACATACATACAGATAAAATGAGCAAACACCTAAGATTAAAAAAATAAAGCTGTCAGTAATAATTTATAGAGAAAAATAAAAGAGGGGCTAGTGCTCATACATCTCTTATCTTTGGTAATTGTTATCTGATTTTCTGCATAACATCATAACATCTGTTTTCCCTAAGTTAGTTGCCTTTGGCAGGGGAGTGGGGGGGGGTTGTTTTGGTTATTTGGGTCTCTGATTCCTTTTTTTTTTTTTTT